CACACTGTCATTTTAATGTGCATTTCTCTAATGGTTAATTAAGCTGAGCCATTGTCATTTTTTAATGGTGTTGAAAAAGATGATGTCAAAGAGAGTCTTCTGTAAATCCTATTTCTAAAACTCTTTATTTTTATTTTTACTTTTTTAGAGAAAGGGTCTTGCTATGTTGCCCAGGTTTGTCTCAAACTCCTGGCTTACGTGATCTCCTGCCTAAGCTAATAAAGCTGAGACTAATTAACATTATTATTTTTTTTGAGACGGTGTCTTACTATGTTGCCCTCAGTAGAGTGCTATAGCATCACAGCTCACAGCAAACTCTAACTCTTGGGCTTAAGAGATTCTTTTGCCTCAGCCTTCCATGGAGCTGGGACTATAGGCGCCTTCTACAACACCTGGCTATTTTTTGTTGTTGTTGCAGTTGTCGTTGTTTAGCTGGCCCAGGCCTGGTTCAAACCTGCCAGCCACGGTGTATGAAGCTGGTGCCATAACCACCGGGCTATGGGTGCTGAGCCAAGACTATTTTTTTTTCTTGAGACAGAGTCTCACTTTGACATCATCTCACCCTCAGTAGAGTGCTGTGGTGTCATAGCTCACAGTAACCTGTGGTGTCACAGCTCACAGCAACCTCCAACTCTTGGGCTCAAGAGCTTCTCTAGTAGCTGGGACTACAGGTGCCTGCCACAATGCCTGGCTATTTTTTTGTTTGTTTTAGCAGGCCTGGGCGGGGTTTGAACCCACCAGCCCGGTGCATGTGGCCAGCGTCCTAACCACTGAGCTACAGGCGCCCAGCCAAGACTATTTTATGTTCCTGTCATTTATAAATCTTCTGCTGCAGCATATTTCTTTGTGGGACTGTACTAGAACATGTCTTTCCAGTCTCCCACCAATGGACATTTATGTATCTTCCAAATTTTTGCCATTGAGAACATTATTGTATGTATCTTTCATTTGCACAGAGACAAGAGTTTCCTAGGTTATATGCCTAGGAATAGAATTGCTAGGTCACAGAGTATTTAAGATAGCATAACGTTGCTTTCCAAATTGGTGGGTTCAGGCATTCTTTCAGTTAATCCATTATCCAGGTGAGAGAGATGAAAGTTCAAGGTGCATTTCTAGATTGGAGCAATGTACACATGTGATATTAATACCAGCTTGTGCTGAAACAAGATAAATGTCACCTTGGATTGACTCTATCAAGAAAGCCATTAGAAATTTATTTCCTGGAGGAGCAATTTAGGAGACACCCAAGTCCCTGGAACCCGGGAACAGATGTACTAAGAAATGTGTTATTGGAACCAATGATAAGTAGCAAGATATGTTACAGAGAGAGGTTAGGGGGCAAAAAGTGCTTGGTAGTAAAGATAGAGAATGGGTGGAGAGTGTGAGTCTGCACTGTGATCTCAATAATAAAAACTTGCGTTTTATAATAAGTGCTAAGAAGTGGGTGATTAGCAGCCAATCTGTCTCCCTGAGGACAAGAACATCCATTTCATGTGCCCTTCACATAGCACATATATATCCAACATCCACTACAGCCAAGGAGAGGAGACAAATCCAACATTTTCCTTGCCCTCAAAAAGTTCATAACTAGGCTCAGCCCCCATAGCTCAGTCTTTACCACACTGGCCACATATACCAGGGTTGGTGGGTTCGAACCCAGCTTGGGCCAGCTAAACAGCAATGACAACTATAACAAGAAATAGCTGGACGTTGTGGCAGGTACCTGTCCCTTCTACTTGGGAGGCTGAGGCAAGAGAATCACTTTAGCATAAGAGTTAAGAGGTTGCTGTGAGCTGTGACGCCGGGACACTCTACTGAGAGCAACATAGTAAAACTTTGTCTCAAAAAAAAAGTTCATAACTAGCAGGGAAGACATACTTTTTATTTTTATTTATTTATTTATTTTTTTGAGACAGAGCCGCAAGCTGTCGTCCTGTGTAGAGTTCTGTGGCATCACAGCTCACAGAGACCTTCAACTCTTGGGCTCAAGTGATTCTCCTGCTTCTGCCTCCCAAGTAGGTGGGACTATAGGCCCCTGCCACAATGCTCAGCTATTTTTTGGTAGCAGCCGTCATTGTTGTTCGGCAGGCCCAGGCTGGATTCAAACCTGCCAGCTCAGGTGTATATGGCTGGTGCCTTAGCCACTTGAGCCACAGGCACGGAGCCATGAAGACACACTTTTTAAAAAGCAGAAATATGAATCAGAACACAAGAGCCATTAGACAATTACAGGCAAGGTATATCAAGAATTTTGGGAAGTGGAGGCCCAGCCTGGTGGCTCATGTCTATAATCCCAGCATTTTTGGAGGGTGAGGCAGGAGTTGGAGTCTGCAGTGAGATATTATAACACCACGGCACTCTAGCCTGGGTGACAGAGTGAGACTCTATCAAAATAAATAAATTACTAAATAAATAAATAAATAACTCTGGGAAATAGGGATGACCTATAAGTGGGAAATCAGAGAGACTTCCTTCTGGAAAAGGTAATGGGAGTTCTGAATCTCCAATTAGGAATTGCCAAGGGCTGAAAATTCTGGCCATCGAAAATAATCTCTTTGTCCTCTTCAAGAAGAATTCATTTACTGTTTCATGTCAAGGGCAATCCCTAAATTACATCCAGTGAAATATTATCTAGCAAGAACAAATTACTCTTATGTGTAACAGCATGAATCAATCTCAAAAACATTGTGCTAAGCAAAAGGAGCTGGACACAAACGATTGCTCACTATGCAATTCCATTCATTTATTTTTTATGTTTTTTTTCTTTCTTTGTAGTAGAGACAGTGTCTCTGTGTTGCTCAGGCTGGTCTCGAACTCCTGGCCTCAGATGATCTTGCTGTCTCATAGCCTTCCAAATAGCTGGGATCACAGGCATGAGGCACGGCACCCAGCCCTGCAATTCCCTGCATATGAGGCTCTCAGGCAAAAAATTATCTATGTAGCTAGAACTCAGAATCTAGAGGTTTTCTGGGGATAATGGTGTGCTGCAGCTGGCTTGAACTGGCTCCTAAACATCTATACCATTCTTTCCAATTTTATAATTGCTGGAAATCAGTCGTGGTAGGAATTTACACCAGAAATGAGCAAAAGCTACAAATCTCTTTCTCTTTTAGTTATTTTAACAGCTCATTGTTAAACATTTACCAGCATCCCACAGGTAGTTGAATCAAAGGGGGAGGATTAACTGAAGAGGCAGTGACCAAATTGTCTGCAGTTTGGGGAATGATTACATGGGTGTATATAATGGTAGATGCTCACGGAATTGGACATTCAGGAACTGTACATTTATTATATGCATGTTATAGCTCAATGAAAAAGATTATATATAACCTAAAATAAAGCAAAATGAGGAAAAGTTCACTGGGGGCTGTGAAAAGACATAGCATTATTTGAGGCCAGATGAGCGTTCATCTAAATTTTGGGTGGGGAGTAATGGCAGGTAAAACTGAAAAGGCCCAGAATGTAAAAGCCACAAACAGGAAGCAGGTGTCTCCTTCCACCTCCCTTGCCCGCTAACCCACTCCTTAACTAAGGGCTGTTTTAGTCAGGAAAAATCTATGGTTACATTTTTCTTTTTAAGAGCACAGTCGCATTTTGCAATTATGTATATATCTTTTAAAAACATTGTTTCTATTGGCTAGGCAAGGTAGCTCACGCCTGTAATCCTAGCAGTCTGGGAGGCCAAGGCATGTGGATTGCCTGAGCTCAAAGGTTCTAGACCAGCAAGAGCCACGGCGAGATCCCTGTCTCTAAAAATAGCCGGGCATTGTGTCCGGGGTCCGTAGTCCCAGCTACTTCGGAGGGTGAGGCAAGAGAATCGCCTAAGCCCAAGAGTTTGAGGTTGCTGTGATCTGTGATGACATGGCACTCTACCCAGGGCAATATAGTGAGACTCTGTACCAGCACTCAGGGAGGCCGAGGCAGGAAGACTGCTTGAGGGAGTTCTGAAGGAGCTTGAGCAAGAGTGAGACCCGGTCTCTACTAAATATAGAAAAATGGCCGGATGGTGTGTGGAGTGCGTGTAGTCCCAGTTACTCAGGAGGACGAGGCAAGAGGACCGCGTGAGCCTGAGAATCTGAGGCTGCTGTGAGCTATGATGACGCCATAGCACTCTACCCAGAAGGACAGAGTTAGATTGTCTCAAAAAAAAAAAAAAAA